TTGACAATTAAATCATATTAGACATTTAATACTTTTAGCATTCAATTAATAATAATAATAATAACAAATAAAGATAAATAATAATAATATATAATAATAAATAATCCTCAAATATTCCATATTCAAACGGGGCATTACACGGACAGTTTTGGACAATAAGGTATCATCTCCCTATAAAAAGGAGTGATGTATACCCTGAATTACATTACATACTGCACTTCATCTTGTACAAGTGTTAACTTAAGCTTAAGAGGCTCTTCACCGGAAAACTCTTCCGGTGTGAGAGTTCTGCAGGTCCAAAGGCGTTCAACCGGCGAAGGAGCTCGAGATCTAGCCGTTTCTAGCCCGTTGGAGGTGTTTGACATACCACCTATTGAAACCTATAGATACACCTCTTCTCTAGTCTTCTAAGATATACAACACATAGAAATATCTAGAGTCTCCTTTCCACCAAGGGAGTTCTGGAGGTGTTAGGTAATTCAATAGAAGGCCTTAAGGCAGTCGAGCACCTGACTCGTAGGCCAAGCACCCGACCACCGTCGGCTACCCAGCACCACCGCTGCCGACTCGCGACATCCCATTGCCCCAACACCGCGACTTGCTGCACCCGCGAGCTTCTAGTGACCCGTCCCGATGACCCGCTGCTCTCACTCACTTCCAACGACCACTTTCGGTGACCCATGAGTTCCTAGCGCCCGACACCGATTGCGACCTTCACGCAACTCGCTCGACGTTGTGACCCACGACCTGCTGCTTTCAATGACCGATTGCGACCCATTACTCCCAACGATCACACGCACGCAACCCACGACATCCTGATGAGGCTAATCCGGCAAGCCAACAGACTCGGAGGTTCAGATGATCTCTAATAGCAAAATTCAGAAACGTCTTAGAGCTAACAAATTATTAAATCGTAAGTCTTCTACCTTAACCTATAGATCCGCTGTGCATAGGTTAATTCGTAGATAAATTTGCAACTTGCACAATTATGACGATCCTTATAAATCCAAACAAAAGGTGCCTAAGTGCTTGTTTGTTAGTCTTGATAATAGACTTGTGCCCCTGTATATAATGTCTCTATTTTTGGACTGCCAAGAGTACAACAAAAAAAAGTCCCTTTCATAGGCTGACAGATCCTGGTCTTTGGGACCAAGAGCCTTACTAAGATAATCTAGAGGTATCCCTTCTGCATAAGTACAACCCCAATGGCCCACCCCACTTGCCTAGTCTCAAGTGTTAATGGTTGTGAGAAAGTAGGTAAAGCCAAGACAGGAGTTGTAGTCATAGCCTATTTTAGTTTGTTAAATTCTTCTTCAGCCTCTGGATTCCACCTAAATTGGTCTTTCCTTAATAGGGATGTCAGGGGTTTGCTTATAACTCCATATCCCTTAACAAGTTTCATGTAATATCCTGTCAACCCTAAGAATTCCTCAGTTGTTTGACAATTTTAGGTGTTGCCCAGGATAGCATCCCTTCAATCTTATGAGGATTAGTTGATACCCCCTCTTGTGATATGATATGACCAAGATATTCTACTATAGTTTACCCAAACAGACACTTACTTTTTTTTTTTTTTTTAATAGAAAACACCCATGAGGGTGAGGGGTTAGACTAGACCCCAACCTGTATATAATGGCCCTAAATGGGCTGAAAAGTCATAAATCTATAAGTCCACTATCTGAAATACAACAAGTCAAATGAAAAGTAAAACTAGAAACGAACAAGAAAACAAGAAAAAGCTGGCAATAGCTGCCAGCAACACAATGATAACGTCTCCTGGTCTGGAAAGAGTCCAGGCAAAAAAGTCAGTGTCACGGAAAGGAAGATGCACTTAGAAATAGGACCAACTACACAAATCTGAATGAAGGGTGCGGAGGCAAAGAGGAATATCGTCAGGATAAAGTATGCGCCTCTGGGGAGTAGAGGACCCGATGCCTGCGAGGAAGTCAGCAGGGCGGTTCCCCTCACGGAAGATGTGCGAGATCTGAAAGCGAATCGACCGAAGTGTGGTTCTAATACGTATGAGCGGATGCTGGATCTGCCATGTGCCCTGATGGCCAGTGGTCAAGAGAGTAATGACAGCGGCAGCGTCCAACTCTATCCAAATGTGAGATGAGATCGAGGCAGCAATTTGGAGACCGATCTGAAGCGCCTAAATCTCTGCGTCGTAGCTCGAGGAGGCTCGAAGAGGGGCATGGAAAGCAATAATAAGAGCACCACTATGGTCTCTAATTAGACCCCCACCTTCGGCGGCTCCGGTAAGTCGGTCAAAGGATCCATCAGTGTTTAGCTTAACCCAAGGGGGCTCGTGTCTCAGCCAAACAACAGCTCTGGGGCGTGGATGCTGGACAGGCTGTAGTTGAGGTTAGTGCATGGCGGTGAGGAGGCATACAACCTGTCCAGTCTCTCTGGGTGAGTCTTCCCAAAGCAGTGAGGATAGAGAGATGCCTGTCAACATGCAAAACAATATGAGAACACAAAAAGAGTTATCCCTTTGCTTCGCATTATTCCTTTCTGTCCAGATGGCCCAAAGAATCAGATAAGGAATAAGAAAGCCTACGTGTCTATCGTGTGTGGTGTGTTTGAAAAAACTCAAAAGCTCAAAGAAATTATTTGTGGAGGGTAGGGATACATGATTGAAACTGGTATAATGCTCTCACACTCTCCTCACAATCTCGCTCCCAAGAAACAAATGGCTAAAGGTCACAGTCTAAAAAACACCAGTCTCAGCACAAAAGTAGCAACGTGAGGGGAAGGAGCCACTTACTTTGCTTGACAAAACGTGTGTTCTCCCTGAGTTTGGTTAGCACCCTCCTTAAATGTTTAATGTGGTCCTCCCAATTCAGACTATACATTAGTATGTCATCAAAGAAAACCAGAGTATACTTCCTCAAACAGTCCCTAAAGATTTGATTCATAAGGGACTAAAAATTGTCTATGGCATTGCAGCCTAAAGGGCATTACTATGAACTCATAAAGGATACTATGTGTCTTGAAAGCAGTAAAAAACATGTGTTCCTCCTTCATTAGAATGTGAAAATACCTAGGTCTATTTTAGAGAAGTATCTTGCCCCATTCAATTCATCTAACAACTCATTTATGATGGATATTGGGTAATCATGCTTGATGGTTATCCCATTGAGATGTCTATAATCCACACAGAGCCTCCATGATGCATCCTTCTTCTTTACTAGTAGAACAGGTGAGGCAAAAGGTGACTTGCTGTTTTGAATAACTCTAGGGTGCAGAAACTCTCGTACAATATTCTTTATAGCCTCCTTTCGGTCATGACTAGTTCTATAGGGAAACTGTTATTTGGGTGTACTTCCTAGTTTGAGTAGAATTTTATGCTCTACCCCTATCTCAGGTGGTAGTCCTTTAGGATCTGCAAAAACATCACTGAATTCATCTAATAATTTTACCATTTCTTTGTTTTCCTCTAGTCTCACTAGTTGGATTGACAACAAATATACTTCTTCTATTTGGTGTTGCTCTTGTGAATGTAGCATCTGATAGAGTGTTGGTCCTGAAATCATCTGGCATTTTGCTTTGGTGGTTAAAGCTTGCAGGATGACCCTCTGTACCCTAGTGTTACTGTGACTGTCATATTGGCATAGTCCAACTCAATTGGGTAGGAACTCCTTTAACAACTTTCATTTGAATATGTTGTATTGAAACAACCAATCCAATGATATCTACAAAAATATCAAATAATTTATTACAGAATTTACATTTAAAAAAAAAAAGAAATATTAAACACACACATTATAACGTACCAAACAACATGGCTTCCTCAATGTTACGAACATCCATCAAAGTTAGAAAGTTTTTGAAGTCAAAACGATACATCGGAAAATCTCCCTGTTATTTGACAATCTTAGTTTGGCCGTGGATAATGATCCTCCATTTTCCTATGGTCGATTTATAGATGTCGATATTACTTTCAACTTGATAATTTGTCAAGACATAGGTGCCACCTTCTTCAATATCGCCGATGAATTTTTGGATATTGACAGGTCGAATTATGCCAGTAATTCGTAAGGCCTAAGACAATAACATATTGAATAATTCAATAAATGAAATATAAAATATGTTGCATAACATGATGCATTGGAATTTATATTTAAATTTAAATTTAAATAATAAAAAAAGAATATGTTACCTCAAAATCGTGAAAGATAATCTCAATAACATTTCGGTAATTGCGTACATCTTCAACTCGTTGGAACATCCTAATTATGCGTAGCTTGATTGGTGGTTTTTTTGATCTTTCGATATCCTTGATGACTCCAAAATTCAAAGGCATTGTGAATGGTGTTTTAAAAGCTTGTGGACAATTTTTTATTGTGGAATGTATTGTATGTTGATTATTTATTGTTCAAGGTTGGTGATGTTTATATAGTCAATTGTATGTACGGTGTGGTACTCACGGGGATACCAAAAATATTTACGTCATGTACTAATTTATTTAATTGATACTGTCCGATAATTATGATACCGATATGACTCACATAAATTGATATTGATATTGATATGTACGGTTTTGGTAAAGGAATTAAAAAATCCCACGCAAATCGGATATATCTCTCGAGATTGGTACAAAAAACAAAATAAAAAGGAATAATTTTTCATGAATTGGTTGCCAAAATCCGATAACTTTGGTAAGGAAATATCGATTTTNAAGAAATACTTGCTAAAAAATTGGTAACAAAATCCGATAAATTTGGCACGTAAAAATCGAGTATGAAAATTGTGAAAAAAAAAATCCCACAAAATTTGGTATCACTTCTTAATTGCATTACGTGAATTTGTTAATTTTTTTTATATTAAAATTTCATGAATGTGTGGGTCTCTTTGCTTATTATTTAAATAAGTAAGTCAAAACACTATTTTTTTAAATCAACCTTATTAATTTTATATTTTTTCAAAAACCTCTTTATATTACTATAGATATTATATAATATTTATTAGGAAATAGAAAATATAAAAACAATTATATCCAATCATGCCTTTGGGTTTGTATAGTTACAGATCCTTCCAGCGTTGAGCTTTGGCGTTTCTCTTCTCAGGCAGCTCTCATTCGCGCGTTTAATCCATCCGATCTGGTTCTTTCCTCACCGGTAAAAAAACCCTTGTTTTTGATGCATGAAAAGGTTTTGTTTTTCCTCGTAAATTTATAACTTCCCGATTTATACCTATTGTTTATCATCCCAATTCGAGATCTGGGATTAAAAGAGTCTTGGATCCGTTCAATTCACATTCAGGCGTGTCTGTTCTTACAATAAATAGGAATCATGCTGATATAGCTCCTTGTCTGTTTGGGGTTTCGCGTTTTAGAACGAAATTTTCGAAGAAAATTAGAGAAATTATGGTTCTATGCAAATTGTATTATCGATGAACTTCAGCGCAGCTAAAGAGGACGCTGTTATTAGTCCAACTTTCTTTCCACCTGCCTTCAGATTTTCCCCACATAAATCATTAGTCCATTTTATTGATTTTTTCTTTTTTTGCAATAGTAATTTGATAATTGATCAATCAGAAATTTTGGCTACAATGGCGACTCGTTACTGGGTGGCATCCCTCCCCGTCGGCCAGGGTTCATCTTCGTCCTCTTTATGGAGCCGCCTTCAAGAATCCATCTCCAAACAAGCCTTTGACACCTCTCTTTACAGAGTAATTTGACTTTTCTTGTTTATAAATGTTTCCATTGTCGATAGCGGATCTGACGTTAGAAAATGATGATGCTTTCCCAATTTAACATATAATTATTCCCTTTTTCTTTTCCATATGTCATTTTTTATTTTAGATAATGAATTTTGATTTTATTGCACTTTGCAGTTCAACATTCCAAATCTGCGTGTTGGGACGTTGGATTCGTTGTTGGCTTTAAGTGATGATCTTCTGAAGGTGTTACTCATACGCTTTACATTTTTCCTGGCTCTTGAGGAGACGGTAGATAGTTTTTATTGTATCAATTAATTTTGAAGACAATGCTTTTATTGGATTGGTGTTGTAGGCAAACAACTTTATTGAAGGAGTGTCACACAAAATCCGAAGACAGATTGAGGAATTGGAGAGGGTCTCAAGGGTCGTGAGTAGCTCTCTTACTGTCGATGGGGTTCCTGTTGACTCTTACCTCACGAGGTGATTTGTTGATTCAATCTTCCTTGACATTGTTTTTACCAGCGTAGCAATCATGCAAGTAATTGTATTTGAAAAAAAGGGAAAAAATGTGATTCGTGTAGGTTTGTATGGGATGAGGCCAAGTATCCAACAATGTCACCATTGAAGGAGATTGTGGATGGTATTCATGTTCAGATCGCAAAAGTTGAGGATGATCTCAAGGTAAGTTGCTCATCTGTGACTGATATTCTCTCTAGAATTTTGTTTAGATTGAATTTCGCCGGTGATAGATGAATTCTTCTTTGAGGTTCATTTTGTGAGAATGCTAGACAATTGCAGTTGGGTATGTGGAGACTCTCATTTTGTCAACTAGATTTTTGTTGTCTCCCAACTAAATTGTGACGTGGCTTGTATTTTCGTTCCCTTAATTCTGTTCGGGAAACAAACAAAGTTTAAATTGGTTCGGATAGTAGAATTTATTGTGTCGTTTCAATGTTCTATTTGTGAACAGTATAAATGAGAAAAAAAATGAAGAAACCAAGGTTTTTGAAATAATTCAGTTATAATAAGCATCTGTTCTTTCTCATGATGATATCTAAACTAGAAAAACTTACTGCCTTTTCTCTAAAGTTAAACCTCAATATGAGAGTAAATTTCGCAGTTAATTGCGGGATCATCTGCTTTTGCTTGGGTTGGTCAAATTACGCTAGCAATACCCTCCCTCACCTCTGGTGCAAAACTGATGCGTTATGTAATCAATGGTTGAAAATTGAGAAGGTCAAACCTGTCACCAATTTGATGCTGTTATTGCACACTTAAATGACTTTCTATTAAAGTCTTCTAAAGTGCATGATTTCCAGCATATGTTTCGATAATTCTTTATTACAGTACTTGGCCGCTTTGTTTAGCCCTTTGTCTTTTCTTTATCATTGTGTGCGTGGCCTTTTACAAGATTATGTATATTTCTGGACATTGGGCCTGCAGATCTCACTTTATTATGTTTTACCAACTTCTGAGCATTTCAAGCATGTTCAACTTTACCTTACAGGTTCGTATTGCTGAGTACAACAATATACGCAGCCAACTAAATGCAATTAACCGAAAACAAGGTGGAAGGTATGCAACTAGTCTAAGGCTATGTTTGGTAAGCCAAATAAGCTAGCTTATAGCTTATTTGGTTAGCTTATAAGCTTCCTGTATTCAAATAAGTCGTTTGGTAAGACGAGCTTTTGTAAAAAGCTCGAGCTTATCTCATAAGCTACTTTAGGTAGCTTTTCAAATAAGCTAGTTGAATTTTTTATTTAAGCTGGCTTATCAACTAATTTACCAAACACTTTTATCATAGAAGCTAGCTTTTCAGCTATAACTCATAAGCTATAAGCTATAAGCTCAAAAATTATATATAAGCTATAAGCTAGCTTATTAGCTATCAGCTAGTTTTACCAAACATAGCCCAAATTTGAACTTCTGAGTAGTGCGCAGGTGATATTATGTTTTTCCTTTTCCCTTTTTGCTTATTTTAGAAACTTTTAAGGTTAATCAATATAATATGCTTTTATTTCCTCTGTCTGTGCAAAAGAAAAGAAAAGAAAAGAAATCTCAGGATGGTCTGAATCTAAGCAATTGAACATGTTATTCATCCAAATAATTTTCTGCTGCAGCTTAGCTGTTCGTGACCTTTCCAATTTGGTGAAGCCACAAGACATCATTAGTTCAGAACACTTAACAACCCTCCTTGCTATTGTTCCAAAGTACTCCCAAAAAGATTGGTTATCAAGCTACGAGACACTGACAACTTATGTGGTTAGTGTCCTTTTTTAAGTACTCACATAACATCACATAACATACTTGATTATGCTGGCTATGTCGACATAAACTTTATTTGGTTTTATTGAATATATTATTTTGTTTTGGTTGAAAACACCACCTTTTGATTGAACTATTTGTTTTAGGTCCCAAGATCCTCCAAGAAGCTCCACGAGGACAATGAATATGCTCTGTATTCCGTAACATTATTTAGCCGTGATGCTGACAATTTCAGAACTAAGGCACGCGAAAGGAATTTTCAAGTGAGTTTTGGGGCCTCCAAATTTTGTTCACTATTTTATTATTGTTATTAGTAGTAGTAGCTGTGATGGCGACGAGATCGCCTTGGTGTATTTGGCGAAATATGACCGGCTTCGGGCGTAGACGTTTTTCTATTGCTACTGCTATTTATTTATTTGCTGCTTTTCTTTATTAAGGGATTTTTATTGCTATTATTATCATTATTAGTAGTAGTATTATTTCTTGTTTAGTAGGGTTAGGAGATTATATATATTTGGAGTCTCTCACTGTGAGAGCAGCTTTTGAACGATTGAATAAAAATGTTCTCTTGAGTTTTATCTGCTCCCATCGTACGCTTCAATCTGCATCAGTTGGTATCAACAGACCAGATCGATTAACGATGCCGCCTAAACGAAACGACAACGATCGACGAGATGCCCATCTCGAGGACTTGGATCGAAGAACGGACGATCTCGGCTTTCAGATTGGATTGAGAGGGTTGATCGGCGGGTCGAAGGACTTTCGGAGGGGATCAAGGAGATTCGACTGGCAGTACGTACCTTGATGGCGGGTGAGCACACGGTCCGCGACCACGGAGGCCGTGCGAGGCGGCAGAGGGCATGGCGGGGCGCCCCGCCATCGTTCGCCTCCTCCGGCGCACGACTATCATCGCGGTGAGGACACCATGTCGGATGTTAACCCTTTCGGCATCTGGCATGGCCAGCGAGACGGCGGCGACGGCAGGCACGCGGAGCATCAAGACGGCGAGGGCTGGGGGGTGATGGCCGTGGACCGCGCCGCGCGGCTGAGGGCGGCGATAATCGCTGGGAGTCCGGGTTCCGCGTGGAGGTGCCGGAATTTTCGGGCGGGCTCGACGCTGTTGAATTTCTCGATTGGATCACCGTGGTGGAACGAGTCCTTGACTTTAAAGAGGTGCCTGATGACCGATGCGTAGGGCTTGTGGCGATGCGTTTACGTTGACGGGCTGGGACTTGGCTTACACAACTCGAACGAAGGCGGCATCGGCTGGGTAAATCCAAAATTGGTTTTTGGGTTAAGTTTCGTAAACACATGGAAGAGGAATTCTTACCTTACAATTATGAGCGTAGTATTTATCAAAAATTCCAAACACTTCGGCAAGGGAATAGGTCGGTCGACGACTACACTGATGAGTTCTATAAATTGCTTACCCGAATTGATAGTCGCGAGACTTCGAACCAGTTGATCTCTCGCTACATCAGTGGGCTTCGTTTACCGATCCAAGACGCCGTTAACATGTTTATACCAGACACTCTTGAAGACGCACACGAACGAGCCCTTATGTTCGAACAGCAGCTGGCGCGCCGTACCTCATTGGGCTTCCTTCCGGCGCGGTCTGGAGCGGCTACAACAGGTGGCACGGCGACTGGTTTCTCGGCGGGCTAGAGTTCCACCGGGCAGGGGTGCGCGTTCACACTACGGACGGTACCGTAATTAATCAATTCAAGTGTGAACGCTACATCGTCGCGTTCACACTAGGGACGGTACCGTAATTAATCAATTCAAGTGTGAACGCAACGCTGTATGTTCAGTACCTCGTCCTGAACATACAACTAGGTACTGAACATACAGCGTTGCTTTAACACTAGGGACGGTACCGTAATTAACTGCAAGCAGGACGAGGTACTGAACATACAGCGTTGCGTTTACACTTGAATTGATTAATTACGGTACCGTCCCTAGTGTGAACGCGCCTTAGCGGCGAGCTTGGGAGGAGCTTCCAGGATTGTAGGGGCGCAAGTGGGTCCTCAACAGGGTGGCGGATTGCGTTGTTTTTCCTGCGGGGAGGTGGGCCATCGGCAGTCGGCGTGCCCTCGATCAACCGGCGGACGTTCGATGTTTGTTGATGGCGTTGGAGATTCGGATGAGCAGCCCGCAAATGATGGGCCACCAGTTTTTGACGACGACACTTCGGAATCGGTTGAATATCATCGTGGTGATGTCGGGAAGGCTCTAGTACTTCGTCGTTCTTGCTTGACACCTAATGTAGATATTGATGCTTCTAGTCAGCGACACCAAATTTTCGAGTCCACATGCACTGTAGGTGATCGCGTATGTCAGTTTATTATCGATTCGGGTTCTTGCGAAAATGTGGTTGCAGAGGAGGCGGTGGACAAGCTCCGGTTGTCAACCGAGCCCCATCCGCGGCCTTATTCGTTGGCGTAGATACACCGTGGCAATGGCCTCACCGTCAACCGCCGAGTGCTTGTTTCTTTCTCTATTGGCGCGTCTTATCGGGATAAGATTTGGTGTGATGTGGTCCCGATGGACACGTGTCACCTGTTGTTGGGACGGCCCTGGCTGTTTGATCGAGCAATTTCTTACGATGGTCGTCTTAATACCTATACTTTCAGTTTTGAGGGTGTTAAGATGGTCTTGCAGTCGGTCCTGCCACGTCCCTTACCGCCGTCCACTTCTCCAGTTTTATTTCTCTCGGGCAAGGCATTTGTGGAGGAACTGAAGGAGGGTCCACTTGTTCTCTTACTACTGGGTTCCGACTCGGTCTCACCTCAGACACCTCCGGCTGCTATCCTTCCTTTGTTGGAGGAGTTTTTAGATGTTTTTGCGACTGAGTTGCCATCTGGACTGCCTCCTTTGCGGGACATCCAACATCAGATTGATTTGGTGCCTGGGGCTGCACTCCTAATCGTCTTCATTATCGCATGAGCCCAGCAGAGCATGAGGAGCTGCAACGACAAGTCGATGATCTGCTCCAGCGAGGGGTCATTCAGCGTAGTCTCAGCCCGTGTGCCATTCCGGCTTTATTGGTTCCAAAGAAGGATGACTCTTGGCGTATGTGCGCGGATAGCCGAGCCATTAATAAAATAACTATGCGGTACTGTTTTCCCATTCCACGACTGGATGATCTTTTGGATCAATTGCATGGCGCGACTATTTTCACCAAGTTGGACCTTCGGAGCGGCTATCATCAGATTCGTATTCGACCATGAGTGGAAGACGGCATTCAAAATCCGGGAAGGCCTCTTTGAATGGTTGGTGATGCCTTTTGGACTGTCCAACGCGCCGAGTACTTTATGCGCGTGATGAACCAGACCTTGCGGGACCTCATTGGTAAGTGTGTCGTCGTTTATTTCGACGACATACTTGTTTATAGCCGTTCTCTGGATGAGCATTTGTTACATGTGCGTGAGGTCCTACTTATTCTTCGGGCAGAGTCCTTTATGCGGCTCCCCAGAAGTGTGTATTTTTGGTGGATTCGGTTCTCTTCTTGGGTTTTGTGGTGTCGACAGCAGGCATTCGCGTGGACGACGGGAAGATTGAGGCAATTCGGGATTGGCCTACTCCAATGACGATCACAGAGGCACGAAGTTTCCATGTCCTCGCTTCGTTTTACCGTCGCTTTATCTCCCATTTTAGCTCTATTATGGCTCCTATTACCGATTGCCTTGCCGGTAAATCGTTTGTGTGGACAGAACCGGCAGCTGCGGCGTTTGCATTGATTAAGGAGCGACTCCCTTCAGCTCCCGTTTTGGTTTTACCTGATTTTTCTCGTCCTTTCGAGCTGTCTTGTGATGCTTCCAAGGTCGGCATTGGGGCGGTCTTGAGCCAGGACTCTCGTCCGGTGACTTTCTTCAGTGGAAAAATCTCGGGCCCGCGACTTCGTTATAGCACGTACGACATTGAGTTTTATGCTGTCTACAGGGCTGTTCACTATTGGCGACATTATCTTTTCCATCGTGAGTTTGTTCTCTTTTCTGATCATGAGGCCTTACAACACATTGCTTCCCAGGATAACATTTCGGCTCGCCATGCAACGTTGACTTCGTATTTGCAGCAGTTCACGTTCGTCCTGATAGGTCGGGTTCGTCTAATCGTATCGTGTGGCCGACGCACTTAGTCGCTGGGCTCTTCTGCTGTCTGACATGCGTGTCACAATGGTCGGCTTCGACACGCTTCGGGATTTGTATGGTAAGCCCCCTAAACAATAAAATATATTGACATGGGGCGAAACATATTTCCCTGTTATATCATCCGCAATCGCCTGAATCTTGAGACGTTCTTCGAACCAATCATAGACTTTATTGAGATAGGTTCAAATCCCCCTCTCAGAGCCGTATATGAGACTTGAATCTCGTACAGCTCAAGCAAAAACACCCAAATAAAATAAAATATATAGTAGGTGTAATAGAAAGTTTGAAACTTCTTCCTTTATGACTTCACTTCGCTTCTAAATTACATCTATCCTCGTCCCTCTCCCAAACTCTATAACGTCACTTCGCTTCGCTTTGTTCGTTGGTTCGATTACATTGAGAAATTCCCCAGGCCGGACAATCCTTTCTTTGGTCCCATTTTGAAATCACAATCCATTATTTTTAACAGAAGGCGGCCAAGATAATCTCCTGTTCGCAGTCGCATCAACTGAACTTGTATCAACAACCTCACAAGATAATCTCCTGTTCGCCAACTGAACTTGAATCAACAACCTCACTGTTTGTATCTTCACCTCCGTGCCATTCACTGCCTTGGCTTCTGAGGCCATTTATGGCTAAATCATCGAAACTCGACTCGGTTCTCCAAGCTGGAGGAGTCACGCATTCGGAATCTCTTGTTGCCCTTTGAGATGAATGGCCGACTCTCAGTGTTTGTAGTTTGGCAAATGATTCTCTGGTCCTTTCGAGGATTATTTTCTTAATGATGGTTTTATTTTTCGGGGCGTGAGGTTGTGTATTCCGGATTGTAGCTTGCGTTTAAAATTGGTGGCTGAATTACATGGTACTGGTCATGTGGGCCGGGATAGGTCTGTTGAGTTGGTCCAGCGGTTGTACTTTTGGCCGTCTTTGCGTTGGGACGTGTCCCGTTTTGTGGCTCGCTGTCGGATTTGTCAGAGTGCGACGAATGCAGGTCTATATCGACCTTTGCCGATTCCATCTCAACCGTGGACAGCCATCAGCATGGATTTTGTCTTGGGGTTGCCCCGAACGCAATGGGGGTTTGACTCTATTTTTGTTGTGGTGGATCGTTTTTCTAACATGGTTCACTTCATTCCTTGCAAGCGCACCTCCGATGCCCTCCATGTAGTTTTTTCGGGAAATATATCGTCTCCACGGTCTCCCTTCTTCGATCGTGTCCGACCGTGATTCTCGATTTCTCAGCCACTTTTGGCGTAGCTTATGGCGGCTCGCGAACACACGCCTTGATTTTAGCAGTGCATACCATCCACAGACGGAGGTCGTCAATCGCTCCCTGGATAATCTTCTGCGTTGTTTGGTGGGTGAGAATCTTCGTAGTTGGGTCGCGCGGCTTAGTCAAGCCGAGTTCGCCCATAATTCGGCTGTGAGCCGGGCCATCGGCCTGACCCCTTTTCACGTGGTTTATGCGGTCCAGCGAGGTCCGGCGGACTTGCTGGCCCTTCCGTCGTCGGTTCAGCCGGATCACCGGGCCGAGGACCCTATTTCGGCTCGGCGTTGCAGCAGACTCACGCGGACACCCGCGCCCGGCTCGAGGAGGTCACGGCCGCGTATAAGCGGAGCGCGGACTCGTGCCGGTGGCTCGTTGAATTTGATGTCGGCGATTACGTTTGGCTGTGTTGACAAAAGACCGCTTTGCTGCTCATGAATATAACAAGCTCTGCCCGGAAGATTGGTCCTGTGGAGATTATTGAGAAAATAAATCCGAATGCTTACCGTCTTCGCCTTCCGTATCATGTTCGCACTTCGGACGTGTTTAATGTCAAACATCTTGTCCTTTATCCCTTATCTTGGTGACAATTCGGACGACGAGATCGCCTTGGATTCGAGGGCGAATCCTCCTCAACCAGGGGAGAATGATGGCGACGAGATCGCCTTGGCGTATTTGGCGAAATATGACCGGCTTCGGGCGTAGGCTATTTATTTATTTGCTGCTTTTATTTAATAAGGGATTTTTATTACTATTATTATCATTATTAGTAGTAGTATTATTTCTTGTTTAGTAGGGTTAGGAGATTATATATATTTGGAGTCTCTCATTGTGAGAGCAGCTTTTGAACGATTGAATAAAAATGTTCTCTTGAGTTTTATCTGTTCCCATCGTACGCTTCAATCTGCATCAAGCTGTCACGTCACCATCACCATCACCATGATAATAATTTGAGTTTTTAATTTGTTTCGTTCTCGTTCTCTTGTTTTCTAGAATATCTTACCGCTGTATATGCCCAGTGTTCTGGAGGAATTCCCTGTTAATAATAGGTTCATTTCTCTTTTATTGTTTAGATTCGTGATTTTGAATATAACTCAGAAACACAAGAAAGTCGGAAGCAGGAGATTGAAAAGCTGGCGACAGACCAGGAATCATTGAGAAGCTCTTTGTTGCAATGGTGCTATGTCAGTTATGGCGAGGTATCTTTTTCCCCCTCTTATTTGTTGATGAAATTTAAATCTCCCTCTCCCTCTGCCCCCAAGTACAGTCAAGGGTAAGCAAGAGCCAGAAAAGGTAGCATATCACTGTTATTATATAGAGAAGCAGAAAAACACGAGGTTCACCTTGCTAAATCTGAATTCCTATGTTCTCTTAATGCACTCTTAAATAGTATCCTAATGGGCCTATATCTCACTAATTTATTTTGATAAGTACGATAAAATTATAATCAGATAAGTTAAATTAATTTCAAAGGTCCCTCCCTCTCTCTCCCATTGTCTTGAAACAATAAACTAAAGTTGAATATACATACCCCAAACATACACACACAAAGAATTGCATGGAGAAAAGAGGAAAGAAAAATGCCCAAGTTTTGTTGCTTGTTTGAGGTGCCTTGCATGTATTGAACATAAGATTTTTTTTACCATCATTTATGCCAACAGGTTTTTAGCTCATGGATGCACTTTTGTGCTGTACGTGTTTTTAGTGAAAGCATTCTGCGCTATGGTCTGCCCCCTTCATTTCTGGTAAAATTACTGCCAAAAACCCATTATTTCTGCATCGTTCTTTTTGTCTTCATTATTGAATGCATATACTGAATTAAAGTTGCTAGCATTAAGAGGTTAGTCAATCTTCAATTTCAGTCTGTTGTATTGTCACCGTCATTGAAAAGTGAGAAGAAAGTCCGTTCAATTCTGGAGGGACTCTCCAGCAGCTCAAGCAGGTACTAATGCTCGTTCTCTTATGAGCTTTTCTATTTTTATTTTTTTTAATCCGGTTAGGTTCTTCATGCCTTTGTAGTAGAGTTCTGGCTATTTCATCATTGTGGGACTAAAGTTTAACTTGTAATTTTGCTGGGTACAAAATTCCAGTTAACTATAAAGAACTTAGAAATTAATATTTGTTTCTAGTTTACAAAAACCCATCTCTTAGCGCTTAGGGGTGGTACTCGGTATGTTGAGCAGATGCAAACCACAAGTGGCTTTATAAATATTTATAAGTTTGAAGGATAATAAGAGGTTTTTGTATCCCACTAAATTTCAAGGCTGTTTTTGTAATGAATAATTGCAAAATGACCCTGGATTTTACCCTAAAATCAAGAACATCTAATCTAATCATCTAAAATTGCAAATACCCCCATGAAGTGTTATAAATGGCTCTTGAGGTTTGCATTTACTGAGCAAATATAACTGTTTTCCTTTATCGTTTCGTTTTTAGTTACGCATAATTTTAGGGCTAGTGTTTGTAATTAACCTTTCTCTAGTCTTCCATTGTATTAAGTGGTTCAAACGCAATTTGGACGCCCATGTGTGATGGTCTGAAAACCCTAAAATGGCAACCAAATCATTTCATGGCATAAAATTTTGGATGGTTTATAATGTCTGTCTTATATGTAAAATATGCAGCACATACTGGAAAACCGAGGACGATGGAGGCATTGTTGGTGGCTTTGCAGGCGATGCAGATTCTCATCCTTATGTCTCCTTCACCATCAATCTTATTTAAATCTGAGGCACTGATATTCTTTATCCATTTCACATTATTTATCACGGTCTTCGAAAATAAAGTGCAAATACTACACTTGTATCGTACAAGTAAATTTATCTGATTCATTTCTTCTTTCAGAGGTTCATATTATCGTCTCGTAACAGAGTTGTATCGAATTTCTTGATTGAATTGAGTTGGTGAGATTTTGTATCGAAATAAACTCTCTTTTACAATTATAAACATGACGGTTACCGATTAGCCTAGCAAACATGATAGTGTTCCTTTAAAGGTTGGTTTTACAACTAATCTTCGCTTTAGATTCTGACCACCCGACGAGGAATGCACATCGACATGAAAAGAGACTCACGATGCTCTTTGATTCGTTTGGCACTTAGCACAGGGTGAAATCAAGCAAAGCTTAAAGCCAATGAGGCAATGATCGAACTCAAGGGTAGCTTTTTTCAATTAACTAACTCTCAAGTATTATTAGCTCATGGCATTGTAAGCAACGCATTCCACCATATCACGATTTCCAGTCACTACAAAAATCGAGCGACCAAAATTTCGTGATCATGCGTAATCCCATTTAGTCTGTCCGAAGCATAACATTTGAAAAGTTAATAGAGGGGTTGGGCAAAAATGATATGATTCACGAGTCACGAAGTTGGGCAAGGTCTATAAGTCACTCGATATTTCCAAGTAAGAAGATATTACTAGACTTTATATTGAAAGTCCTTTGGAGATTTTATTAATAAAATTACAAAGACAAAGTCCTAGTGGAAACCTCATTAAATTTGTGAGATTTTGGTGGACTTACATGACTTTTCAACCTTTTTTATAAGGGTTAATGATCGCAACTATGTATCTCATATTACTTTAATACTCAGTTATTTTATTTATTTAACTTGATAGCTTGTATAGCTTGTTTTTTCATTTCAAATGTTAAGCGTGATTTTTATTTTTTATTATGGTTATTTTAATGTATGTTTACTTTTATCCTCTTTGTTTGCTTCTGAATTTAACTTTTTAAAAGTCAAATGTTTGTATAATTTGCACTATTAAGAATTTGCACTATTAAAACCCTAAACGAGTTGTTCGTGAAAACAAAATATTTTTGCAAACAAGTTCGACAAGATTGTGTATTTTATAAAAAAATATATATTGGGCCGAAAAATGGTGATCAAGCTATTGTGTATTTTGCAAAACATTTACTCTAGGTGGCTGCGAGGCAGAGCTCCGGCGCGGCAGAAAGGACATCGAAGGAGGCCATTGTAGATGAAGGAAGACGGCGACGTTGGCTGCGGCAGGCGGATGGTGGCGTCAGAGGGTATCTGGTGGCAGCAAGTGGGTGGGATGTCGATGTGCAGAACTCTGTGTGTGTGAGAGAGAGAGAGCGAGAGAGAGAGAGAGGGTGGTGGTTGGTGGGATGCGGGGGCCCAAGTGTAGGTGGATGAGAGGAAAGTGTAAAATGTTCATTGTTGTGACCATTTTTGTTGTATTTTTCGTTATTGTTTTATCATTCTTTTTCCCCCGTTTTAGGTCCTTTCGTGAGTTTTTATTCCGTTTTGTGTTTTATTATGTGTTTTGTTCCATTTTGGTTTTCTTTGTGTTTTTCGTGTGTTTTTCTACGTTTTTCTTCTTGTTTTTAGTGTGCAGGTCGGAAGCCCGTGAGGAATCGATTTAGCTCAAAAACGGGTCGGGAAATCATGGTTGGATAGATGAGTTCCTTAGCTACACATAGGAAAAAGCAGAATCCAATTTCGAGTTCGGACGAGTTCGGACGGGTCCAAAACGCAAAGTCGCGCGAAACACGTTCAATGTGTAGGTTAAGGAGCTTTGGGAGAATATTACTTCAAGAATAATTTGGCCAATTAAGCATCATTGAGTAGAGGAGTTCGTTAGCGACACATAGGAAAAAAACGGAACTCAATTCCGAGTCCGGATGAGCGCATACGAGCCCGAATAAGGAATTGAGAAGTTTACATCGTCGCTGGCCGCGAGACATGTCGCGGGCCGCGAGAGAAGGATCGCGGGCAACGAATAATTCGCGGGATGAGTTGTTCCTGCTCGTTGAAGTCGCGGCCGCGGAATATGTCGCGGCCGCGAGGATGTCATTGTCGCGGGCAGCGAGAATTGTCGCGGGGCGCGAGTCAGAAAACCAACTTTCCTGCTTCATGAAGTCGCGGCCGCGGGACATGTCGCGGCCGCGAGATCGCGTGGTCGCTGGCCGCGACTTACTCCGCGGGCCGCGAGACAGGCAATTTGCAGAAATTGTGGCTTTTTCCCCTCTTTTCCTCCTTAGTGGTGATAGTGGCGAATTTTGACCATGATTTTTAGCACCCTTCTCCTCCATGTTCCCTCCATGTTCCCTCCATGTTTTGTGATTGGGAAATCAACTATAAATGAGCTTGATTTGGATTTGAAAAAAAACAACTCCATAGAGGGGTTCTCCCTCTTCCCCTCTTCTCCTCCTTTCTTCTTCTTTCTTCTTCTTCATTGTTAGTAATTTGTGAGTGTAATATTTGGAGAATGCAAGGATTCAATTTGGATTGTAAATTGATTTCGATTCTCGACTTGGATTAATAGTAAGTTTTCTTCATTTGATTATGAATATAAAAGCTTGTGTTAAATCTTTTGTTGTGGTTGATTTCATAATGAGTAGCTAATTCCTTAGCTAGGGTTAAGGGATAATCATTCCGGTTTGTTCTCGTTTATGTGCATGACGATAACTCAATCTTGACGAGTTGTTTTAATTATGAATTGATAAAATCATACTCGATAAATGGTTATAACCTAAGAGTGACACTTAGGTTAACTTATTGATATAATCAAAGAGTGACACTTTGATTTGTGAGTGAATATTGCTTTGTTGAGTTAGAGTTTGTTAATTCTATGAATTGCGACTTGTAGAACCGAAAGGGGAAGAGTCGTAGAGATAATTGATTTCAAAACCGAGAGGAGAGAAATTGGTGGAATTTGGCTCGTTTAGAGTAGACATGTTCGGAGACGTATTGTCTATGTGTTAATTGTTTCGTTAATTTGCTCATTTATGTTTATCCTTATATTACGAGAGTTAGTAAGAATAAACCGCTAAATGAGTTAGTTAGTCGAACCACTTAACCGAGTTATTAATTGCCGTTAAATGTGGGTAGAACCGGAAGCGATTATTCCCGATACCCTAGCTCGTTTATCTTTTTATCATTTATATTTTTAGATAGATTTATATTTCATGCTATTTCTTAGTTGATAAATCTCCAACCCCATCTTGATTAGAGTGTTTAGGAGTTATTTTCCTTTCTTGTGATATCGAGACCATTTCTAAATTCCGAACAGCCTTCCTCGAGAGATCGACCCGGGAAACGAATCATTAGATTCGGTGCTCGGTAAAATAAATGTAATTTGCTACAACATTCATTTTGTCCTTACTTAATGGTCAAATGTATATATTTGGACCCAACATATTCTCTTATTTACCGTATTGTCACCGCATGTTTGACTATTATTTTAAAACTTTGACTTTATCATAACCATTTATATGATAGATCCAATGGTTAAGATTCACACTTATTTTTATTTCTTTCAAGATCTATCTTTCTTTCTTATTTGAAAACATCTCTCTCTTTCTATATATATATAGAGAGAGATTTATCAAATTAATTATTTCTAAACGAGTTTCAATTTGATATTTATATTGCGTACAACAATAAACAATTATATTTATTTTTATAATAAAAATCATATTATCTATTAGTGTTGATTAAAAATAATAAAAGTATTTAAAAATTAAGTAAACTTAACTTATCTGTAATATTATTATATGATATAAGTATAATATATTATAATATTAGGCGGTTTAGAGTGCTTCGTCGGTGAATCTTTACTACACGAATAAACAATGTCTTTCCATTTGAGTACATTAACTCTTATTTTAACACTCGGCATAAATGGATGTCCAAGTCTATGGACTGTTGGTGTAGTTTCTTCAGCACCATTTTCCACAAACATCAACTTTCATAATCTTAACTCTACAATTAATTGCACCAAAATTAGTCCCACAAGTAATAAAATTCCGGGTTGCGCACGAGTTGCTCGAAAACAACATTTGGCTGTTGACATAAAGGCAGAGGAAGAAAATGTGCATTAACTTTCTAACCATAATGGGGTGATCATATTATTTAGCGGGCTTGGATATAAATCCGCTCAAAATCATTGTTAATTTTAAAAAATATAGTAGTGTTAGTTGTTAGCGAGATTTTGGTTTTATATTAAATAATATTTAAAATAAAATAAATATAGTTAATTTGATGTAAAAATATGAGAGGGATGATGTGAAATTATGGTTAATTAAAATTATGTGAATGAATGAATAATGAATAGTGAATTAAAGTTAATATTATATGTAAAGATGATTGATTGATATTATTTAATTATACTGATAGTATTAAGTATAATGTAATTGAGTTAAAGTTGAGTTAAATTTTAAGTATAAATTAAATATAAATTGAGATAACTTATATACAAACATCCAGGGTGCAGCTCGCCTGAATTTCGGGGAGCTTTTTCAACCCTTATTCAACAATACAAGCCGGATGTGATGGCCCTACTCGAACCACGTATTAGTGGGGTAAATGCAGATAAGTTTGTGCGATATAGCAAATTTGAGAACTCGTTTCGAATTGAAGCTCAGGGGTTCTCCGGGGGTATTTGGCTTTTGTGGACTGGAGAGGTACGACTCGAGGTACTGTCCTACTCACGTCAGATGGTGCATGCTAGATTGAACAAGAATGATGAGGAATGCTTGGTATCTTTTATTTATGCCAGCCCCAATGCCTCCACTCGCAAACGTCTGTGGGCTATTTTAGGGAGCATGGCACTTAGTATTTCTGAACCTTGGCTAATCGGGGGTGATTTCAATTTCCTCCTTCGTCGGTCTGAGAAGATGGGAGGATCATCGCACTTTTGCAATGTAAGTCAGGACTTTGCAGATTGGCTATTTAATAATAGTCTCCAAGAGGTGCCGACTGATAGGCACCTTTTCACTTGGGTCCGTGACACCCGTCATGGTAGGATAGCCGAAAAACTTGATCGATTCGTAGCTAATACTTCTTGGATGGAGAAGTTCGATATGGGCCAGTCTCGCCTACTCCCTAGGATTCGGTCAGACCACTCGCCCCTACTATTGGGCTTTAGTCGGGCTAGCCGCTTGACGCATGGGGTGAAGCCTTTCCGCTTCATAGCAGCTTGGTTACTACACCAAGGCTTTAAGGAGATGTTGCAAGCTACGTGGCAGCCTACTCAGGGTTTTATGGAAGCCGCGAAAAATTTTGTTGATGTTGCAAAGGAGTGGAATTTGAAAGTG